GTAACACTGACAATTTTATTACCTGTTTTTAAAATTATTTTTAAGGAAATGATTTAAGTGGACAAGTGCCCATGATGAGCTTTCACTACGAGAAGTATTAAATTCTGAAATTTGGTTGACGAGGGCTGGCAGTGCAGAGAGAATAAATGGAAGAAAATTGCAGATACATTAAACTTAATAGAATGTCCTGTGTTTGGAACAAACCAGAGGTCCACTAGAGAGTGGTTCCAATATCTCTTCGAGAAGAGGAAATAAAAAAATAGAGAGGAAGAAAGAGCCAGTGGTATATCACCTGATATTACTGATATTGACAAACTTTTGGATGAGCTGATTGAACTTTTCGAGACAGCCAGCTTAGAGCAAGCAAATTCAGCAAAAGAGAAAACTAATGAGGTGGCTTTAGATGCCGAGAAAGGGTTGGAGATGCGAAGACTGTCAATGGAGAGTATGGGAGAGTCAGCAAAGAGAAAATCAATTGATGATAGGAACTGGAGAACTGGAAGTGACACATTAGAGTTTTTGAACCAAAAAGTAAAAATTGATATTGAATGGAAAAAAAAGGAGTTTGAGTTGAAAGAGAAAGGGAACGTACATTGGAGGAGAAAGAGAAAAAGAGAGAGTATGCAGAGAAAGAGAGGTCCTGGCAGCGAGAAAGGGAGGTGAAGCGTCTGACAGCCAACGAAAGTCAGTTGGAAAGGCAAAATGAGATGTTGGCGCAAATTAACGTACAGTTGCAGCATCAGAACAGTTTAATTGTTACACTGATGCAACATTTTAATGCTACACAATAATTTTAGATGTAAATTTTTATTTTCACCCGCATTTTCATATATAGTAATATGGAAGAATCATATTATAAAATTTTCTCTTGCTCCAACTGTTGTCTATAGTTATCTGTTTATCTACTTTTACATACTGATAATTGAATCTACAAAGTTTCTTATTACATTGTTCTCCTTGCAAATCAATGTTCCTTTATTGTTGTCATAGGCAAAAGGGTTTTGAATTTTAACTTTTATTAAATAGGTGCATTTGAATCACATTCATAAGAAATAGTCACAAGTATAATAGTAGTAATGCGGAGATTGTTGTCAACTTTTCGTGATACCCCTCTATTCTCCTAAAAAATTACAGCAAATTTTTGGTGCCCCCCCCCCCCTCTGGTAAGTGTATATGTCAATGGTGAGCACCCCAAAAGCAAAGAAATTATAAGAGAGTACAAATTCTGTTAGAAGTATCTTTTTTATTGCAATTGTTTGTATTTGATTCATGGATGCTGAAAATAATTTACAATATTTGGTGGTTCAAGCTGAAAAAATTCTGACGTAGTACTACCGTATAAACAATTTCTAGCATTCTTTAACAAGGGGCATACTAAATACATCTCTCCAACAACACTAAGCTGTAGTTTCAAGTTCTTCTTAAAGTCTAAAAACTTAAAATAGTTTATTATGTCCCCAAACAACCATTCCATGCTGACTCTGACTGCACTCATCTGTTGATTCCACAGCTGCTGCTCTTTTGTCAGATCTGCATTTCTGAATGGGGCTTGTAGATGTGGCCTAAGGGTGTATGCAGGGTCTCCATAAATGCACATAATATCACCATTTGGAGAAACAGAATGCTGCTCGAGTAATTGCAAAAGGCCAGATTCCCTTAGCATTCCACTATCAATAATTCTTCCTTTAAATGGACCACGTAGAAAAGCAACAAGACCGTCTGGAGTAGCGACCGATTGGAATTTAATTGCATGGACTCTTTTATGTCCATTATAAAGGTCTATCTGGTTAATGCCAGGTCTGGAGATTGGTCTGACAGTTCCATCAATTAATCCCCAGCAGTTTTTTAAAGGTGCTCCTTTTTCGTGCACTGCATCTGCGTATCTTTGAAGATTCATTGGCGATAGTGTTTCTCTCTCGAAAGAATTCAATAAAAATCCCCACTGCTCATAAAACATTCGCATCAAAGTATTAAAAATCACGCAGATTTCAGGTACTGGCCTAGCAAAATTTGGGATCATGTCCATATATCTACATGGATAGGCAAAACGTTTCAATATGATGCAGATAGCTTCCGTAGTGTCAACACTGATTCTGTTGTATGTTACTATTTTTTCTGGGGAATGAAAAATTTCTTGCAAATTAAAAATGTCTCTTTTCTCAAATCTGAACTCGCCTTTACACTCGTTATTTGTCATTTCATCAAGGTCAAATTTTTCGTACTGCCAATATGGAATCTCCAGATTAGGCTTTGGCCTATTCTCAAATTCTAAAAGAGCCAGTTCTTCGTCATCAATTACATTTAAGTTATGAGCGATTGCCAGAGCGTCGTTAATATTTTTTTCAGCCATATTTTATTCAACTCTAGAAGGGAATTTTTTCGAGGCTTTTAAAACATATCTCTTGTTGTAAACAAGGAAGTGTGTCATTCTCACGAAATCCTTCTATTGCGTCAGGTTGCCTCTCCCTACCGTTGTTTGTGCTTAATTTAGTTTTACCACAAAGATGATAGTAGGTTCTATCGTTATCAGTATCGTTATCGTCTCGTGTGCTTAAACTCTCTAAAATCAGAGGCTTGCAACTGCTTAGTAAGTGGTCTTGTGACATCCAAAGTCTTTGAAACAATCACCAACGTTAAGATGAACTGAAAAATACAGTGTTGAAGAACAGTCCAGATGTGTCACATGAAGAATCGCTGTTCCATGATCTGTTGTTGTTTTCTTTGATTTGCTCAAGAGCAGCAGCCATGACAGGAAACAGCTCAATGAAAATGTCAAGACCATCGATTCGAGAAACCCACCTGGTCCTGCAGACGTCAATTAAATGTTGGTGTTGACTTTCAGGAATTAGCAATCATACCTCTTCCTTCAAGAGTTTATCACGTTTTGGGTGTGCATTGAAAAACTATGAAACGATTCGTACATGTGACATCATATTTTTTACCTCTTGAATCTGACATGCAGAGACTACACACAAGTTAAGCAAATGTGAACGGCAGTGAACATAGAGTGCTTTTGGGAATGATTGCAGAATCCTCCCGCAACGCCAGAACATTTGCCTGTGATATTACTGCCACCATCATAGCCTTGGCCTCGATAATTATTCTTATCGAGTCCAAGACTAGATATTGTCTTTTTTATCTTTGAAGAAATAGCCTCACCTGAAAAACCTTCACCACATGGGGAGCAAATCCAAACAAATCCTCTCGTATGCTTCCATTTTTTTCAATAAAGCGAAAAA